GGACAGTACAACAACAGTTCAAAATCATATGTAAGTGATAAGCATGAAAACGCAATGTTAAAGTGAAGATGAGATCAAAGTAATAGGGAAATTTATTCGACAATAACAGATAGTTGAATAGACGGAAGCCCGTAAAAGACTCACGGAAGTGTGTCAGTTTATTAGTGTTAGATAGTGGTCAAAGTAGGGAAAGTGTCCGGATAAACTTTACATTTTATTGCAACTACCACTTGTAGGTGCGCGAGGAGTGATGACACAGATGGCTTTCGGGTGCAGTGCAGACATTTTGGGGCAGACTCCCTACAAATATCTCGCTTCTTCCAGTGCACCATTAGTTTTTCGCCCCCAAATATCTGCAGTGGACTCAAAGAAAACGATAGCTAGGATTCATCGGATATTTTCATACACTTAGTTTATTCCGCTTTTCACTTCAAGACAGTACATTAGCGCTGTGGCCACACAGTGTATCAATACGGTGAACTCATTTCTCAAACAGCCTTTATTTGGGGGGAACCTTAAGCTTCCTTTTGACTACGATTTCACAAACAAAACTTAGGTTGATACGTGGAAGAAGATCATTATCTTTGTCAGAATAAGGACAAGTTGTTGCAAGTTACAGAAGACTATTTCGCAGTTTATTAGTACAGATAATTTGCACCGCGATACCATATGAAGCAAAGGAATACGAATGCCATGTCCCTCTCATCAGTACAAGAAAGTTAACAGCATAAAAATCACTTCACGAGATACTCTACATTAGGTACCGTGAGGACGAATAAAATCTTTCCCAGTTCAATCTCATGTGAGTCGAGTTGTCCAGAAAATATGTGGAACCCTTGTTGCGTCCATTATTCCACCTTTAGGCACCAAAGTTGTATTTTGTATACCGTTTTGCTCTTTGCGTTCACTGAAGAGTTTCTGCTTCATTGAACTCCTGTACATTTCTAGTTTGAATTGACATTTTGTTAACTGCGAACGAATTTAGGGTTTAGTTACTGCACTTTTTGTGTTTGGACGCCAGTTAACCTCATATTTGAAGGTTTCTGTCATGATAACCTGACACATTTCGTTTAATGGAACAATGATCCTGCAGTTCTTCAACATTCTGTTATCAATGTAATTACATTTGGTACCATTCGGTTTGATTTGAATCTGGTCAAATTTCTCCGGTACAATTTGGCTTTCTTTCCGCTTGGGAAAGGACTTTAAATCTTCATCTTCAGAAGTTATTCGCGCGAGGGCAGTAGCACAATAATCAGTGCTGTTCCCTAAATGATGTGCATCGGTGGCACAGTGGTTAGGACACTCGCCGACCATGCACATGGTCCGGGGTTCGATCCCCTGCCGACACACACCCGATATCTATGGTCAGCCTGCGAAATTCGGGCTACCGATATCCATGCTGAAAATTGCATACTTGTGCTGAAAATATGGTGTGGCATCAAGCTATAATAAAAATAAATAAAAAAATTTTCCCAGTTCCTTAAATTGTCCAGATAAAGTACACTTTTTAGACTATTGACTTCAACTGACCATTTTCTGGAATGGTCACTAGACAATCTGCAAGAAGAGGGCCCAAAGGAGTGCTCAAGGTCATTCATCAAGGTCATCCGTTCTCAAGGTTGTTTTGGGTTCCTAAAGTTCAGAGTCACCCTATTTCAATACCATTCTTTTGTCTTGAGACTGTTTCATTGAAAGTAAGTTGTACATTCAAAGTACACCTCAAAAGCCGTGTGTAATGTGTAATGGCTATCCTCATTTTCAACTGGTTGTCCCCAGTATATTTGCGGATAAAACAAATGGTTTCTGTCAATCGAACTTTCGAAAATAGAGATTATACATCCAAAAAAATAAATGTTTATTCAGAGCATTTGCATCCTATGTACATTCGATAAGTTGGAGTCACGGAATGGATGGATACACACTTTTCTACTGAAAGGGTTTAAGGACTCCAGCTAGCTACTTAGCTATTAGATGGCATGGGGATCCAAACAATTCCAGAATAGGGGTAGCCTACTTTTGTCTACTTTTGGTAGACCATAGAGTGCTGGTATTAGAGACCCTCTTGGGCTTATCTCTTCATAAAATTCCTCGCGAACCGGATGATTATTCTTCATTCTTTCCAACGAATCTGTAAGTTACTTTTTGACTAATTCCTTTTTGCTTTTCTGGTCCAGCTTTGAGGGTTTAATGCTGTCAAAAAGTAGACGTTACATTTTATCGATGTAATATTTACGACCCATGAGAACAACGCCTGAACCCTTATCAGGGCGTCGTAACAGCATATCCTTATTGTGCTTTAATTGCTTCAGTTCTTTGTGCTGTTTCGACTGAAGGCCATGCACGTTCGGCGCATAGTTTTAGGATCGATGGTTTGGCTGATTGGATTTTCAAACTGGATGTGTATATGAAGCTTGTTGAATCTGAAATTAACGTAGCGAAACTTTAAGCCCAAACACAAGGCTTCACTTAGTAATTTGGATGGAAATTTGAAAGAATGACTGCACACAAATCTAGCAGGATCATTTGGAAATTTCCGATAGGATTCGATAGATTTTGAGGCTCCTAGATAGCTTAGAATTGCTAGACAGTGTTCACTTGTTGACATACTAATTAGACTTCCGACGTTCATCAATGATTGCATCATGTAAAGAGGTAGATTCTTGTGGAATATTCCTTTCTTATTAAGGGACACCCAATGAATACGGTCAATATCATTTGATGTGTGTCTCTCGAGAGACGTTGTATTAAGGCATATATGACTGAACAGAAGCGCTTTCCAATACCACTTCTGACATCCATGATGATGATTATTCCTTTGGGTTTCAAATAATAATAATAGTATATTCTCATTTTTTACATGAGGGACGCCAGTTTACAGGCATCATCAATATGATAAATTACATATACGATTAGTAAGCATATTTAATAATAGTAATTTAATAAAATACATTTTTTCCCACCTGTGTAGGACACACCAATTGTACAGGCATGGATAAGTATTATTTAAATTACATAAATTTGGTTCATGGTAAAATTATAAGGTTGCAGTCATTTTGTCTATGGGAACAATATGATAACTAGTCATTCAATGCAGCACATCAAGAAATATAGAAATATTGTCTTCGCATTAACAAAAAAAACCCAAGCATGTTTTGGATGGATTACAAATACTTGGGAAAAAAATAAAGCTTGAAGTAATTCCTCCATATAACTTTGGTGTTTACGGCATCGAGTATTATTCTTGATTTATATCCATATTTGATAATAATTCAAAATAAGTAATACACTTGTATACTTTTGTCAGCATTTTCTTCGTAACATCACAAGTGAATAGTACTCAGGGTAGGCTAATAATAATGACAGTCTGTATTTTCTTATAAACGGGTGTTTTCAAGAAATGCAAGCTATTTTTGCAGGTACAATCAGTTGTTGCAAGTTACAACCGTGAAGTGTTATAAATCAATACTTTTTTATTGGTATAAAGGTATATTTCACAACTGTAATCCAGGTTGCGTCGTTGGTGAAGGCAATGCGTAATTCACGAGGGAATTGTAAGTTATGGGACCAATAATGTTTGCAGATCATTTGTCATTGTAAATGGTCGAAAATGTACATTCTTTGTTCTCTTTCATAAAGTTAAATGGAAGCTGAAATGGTGAGAGACAAAAGAAGACAAACAACAACAACGCAAAAGGAAGCAGGTGGAGTACTTAGGGAGTGATCAATATGTATATATACATTTATATTCTGTTTAGTAATTATAGTTATTTTGGAGCACTAACTAACTATTCCCGTGATGCTAACTTTTATATTGTGTGAACTAATATTATTGTCCTGTGTAAAAATGTCTATCATGTACTTCCAATAATATAAAAATTTATAATTGTAGTTTGTTGTAACTACACGTTTAATGAACTTAAAATATCTATGTTGGGTGAAAAGGTGGGTGTAGGATTCAGACGCAGAAGTGCATCGTCATCTTTGAGCAGTCTGGTGACTGAGGAGATGAACTCTGCGAGTGTGTTTGCATCGCGCACATCAGCTGGTAGTCTATTCCAAATGACTGAAAACTTATTTAAGAAGAAATTATACCGCATGTAAGTCTGACAATGCTCTATAGCAGCTAGGTTGTGATGACTTCTAAGATTGTAACTGATGACAGCGGTAGGTTTAATTATTGGCTCGGAGGAGTGCACGAGCAGATTAGTTAGCTTGTAGTAAAAAATCAGGTTTAGCTTAAGACGTCTTTTCCAGAGTGGTTCTAAACTTAGTCTGTCGCAACGTTCATAGTATTCGAGACCACTTTCTAAACCAAGAGTTCTTAAGGTGAATTGCCGTTGCACTCCTTCTAACTTAAGCTTGTCATTTTGTCTGAGTCCGCTAAGAATAAATGGGCAGTATTCTAAAATAGGTCGGACACATACTTTATATAATAAAACCCTAGTTTCACAACAAAAGAAATTGCGAGTTATGCATCCTAGGAGCCTTCGTGTTTTACGTCTGGCATAATCAGTTTGTTCAGAGAACGTTAAGTGGAAATCTTCTTCTTGGAAGTCTTCTCACCCATGGTTCTCAACAAGTGGAAACGTAGTTTACTTTCGACAGTTAACTTTTTGACGATATCCTTAGGTTATACCTTCGGTGAACCGAGGAATGGGGTTCTGAAGTAAAATTTGACCAGAGATCTATGATGTTCTTAAAAAACGAGGATTCGAGCTCACTTAAATGCAGTAACACCAAGTTATTAACGTGATCTTTGCATGACAGACCAGTCGAAACAGATTAATCAGAACAATTCTAGGACTACTTTTTAACTTGTTTCTCTCTTAACTCCCAGTATATTTTGGACAAATATATCTTCGTTAGTACATAAATCTCCAGTGTGAATAAAGTTTAATTAAAATAAAAAACTCAATATTGAGAACCCGTATTCACTGAAGAAATTCCCATATAACAATGTATTACACAAAGCCTAATAATTTATTGAACATGTGTTTTGTTTGTTTAAGTACTGTGAAAGACCGCTTCCTGGGCGCCATTGCATGTTCTAGGCTGTTGTCCATTGTTTTCCGTTTTGAAGGATGACTTACATGACGCTAGTGCAACGCATAGAGTTAGAGCGTGGGAAACGCGAACCAGGAGAAGTAAGCTAATCAAGTTATGATAAAGATCTCCAAGATAACGGAGCTGAACTTGGACAACTCCAAATCGGTGGACATTGAGGGTCTGACGGATGAATATTCATCATTAGAAGTTCTGAGTATGATGAATGTTGGACTTCAAAATTTGACAGGTTTGCCATGTCTCACAAGTCTGAAAACTGTAAGTCTATTTCCGTCATGTTTATGTGCTTGCATAGCTTGAGCTTTCCAATAATTTGATATCCGGTGGTCTTGATGCTCTTCTCAAGTGTCCTAATATTGAACAGCTAAATTTAAACAGTAATAAGATCGAGTCAATGGAGGCGCTGGTGCCACTAGCTAAATTGTCCGAACTGCGAAGCTTGGATCTTGGTAATTGCCCTGTCACGACAACTGAGAATTATCGCAAAAAAACATTTGCGATGATCCCATCTCTAAAGTATCTGGATGGTCTAGATGAGTAAGCAAATTATTCATGAGTAACACTGTTTAGAAATAATGAAGAAGAGGTATTTGCTGGTGAATTCGTGAATGGTGGTTCTGACGAAGGTAAGTAACGTCTGGTTATCATACAGACCGAATGTTTAATTGCTGATTTGATTTGTGTTCATAATCCTTTAATTTGTGACGCATTAACAGATACTCAGTTCAGTTGATAATTCTTAGGTATTCAGTTTACGTGTTGACTTTTGACCCCTCATAAGACCAAGAGTCTCACCTATCGACTACACTAATTGTCCTCACAATTTTGCTATCCGCACTGCTCAGCAGCCGTCTATATGTTCTAAGGATTGGTTAGACATTTCCCACAAGTGTGGTGAGTAGTAAAGTGTTGGTAGGTATTGTCGCTGCAGCAGTAATTGGGGTTAAATGTACGCATCAATTCGAACGTTGACTTGCTTGAAGGCACGATGACCGTCGAAGTAGTATTTAATAGAGTTCCCTCGTACTTAGTTCTCTATGTTGAATAAAATGAAGCAGAATGCCTCACTTCAATGGCATGTGGCATGTAATGGTTTTTGTGCTTTTGGTGGACACTAATCATCTTAGGATGTGCTTGACATAACGCAATATGTAAGAGGTTCGACATGATCCCACCATTCTTGGTCACCATGTTTTGAATTTGAAATCTGATGCGCTTAAATCAGCCTTAGTAACAGACTGGGTCGTATAATCAGCCTTTGGGGAATAGATGTGAGCATGGATCGGTTTAGCGTTTTTCCCTGGAAGCTGAGTGGCTGTATGTAATCCTTATGATGGAGACATTTCTGTCGCTTACTTTCGTCTATATAAGTCCCACATATTAGAGTTGCAGATACGATCAGTGCCTTGGGCACAAACATGTCACGTAAATGTTAAGTTCATACTCAGCGTCCTTTAGTTTGTGCCTTAGGTGTTCGCTTATTAAGTGGTTGAGTTGACCAGAGGTAGTATTCACCTATCAAATGTAATCGGTGTTAGGTTCCTGCCAAAGACTTGGTGCACTACAACACTCACTGGTGCATATCAGCGCCTCACCGGAAACGCAGTGCTGGGTTTCTCAGATCCTTGAGTTCGGATATTCACCATTACCACTCGCCATTGTTGTCTTCATGGTGTATTGTGAGGTGAAGCTAACGGTTTTTATGTTGATTCCCTATTGTCGCCACTGAATAATGACGAGAAAAATAGGAAAGGTTAGGGAATACCTAATTGCAGATAACGGGCTCCAATTAACAACTTTATGTGCACTGAGCGTTCGTGTGGTCTGACGGTCTACCCTCATACTTCTCGTCTGTTTCATAGTTTCATACTCATTTAAAACTGTCAGTGGTTTAGCATTCAGAAAATTATTTCCGCCGTTCGTCAACACTTCATTCGTGGTTAGTATCTTCAAGAAGCGAGTGACCTGATCGGTATTTCTGGGTTGTAATAGGCATAACTTATGCTTCCACAGTCCTATCCAATATCTGGTCTAAACTGGAACTCAGTAAAATCCCAATATTTTTTCCCTTGTTGTTGGTTCTACAATTGATTTTGATGGAAGTGACTGGAGTCATTTCACATTGCTGCCAGCTTACTGAGTTTTCACAACCAAAGTTTACTATTACAACTAACTGGTTGTGTTCTGTCACTGCGCAACGCCGAAGTAACAGTGTATACCAAGTACTCTATGTGATTGACGCAATTTAGCGAACCACTCCATTTCTGATTTGTGGTGTGTATCTATAGTCTTGTGAATAGCTTATCTAAACACTGCGGAGGAAGTCTAATATTGCAGCCATAAACCTCTGTTCTGCTAGCCTTTACTCTGTTATCCACCTTTGAATTGGCATGCGTACGCTACTTTGGAGTTCATCTTAGTCTGAAGGCTTATGAAACAAGAGTGAAGACCCTTCTCCCTGTTTGATGTTTGTCAGTATTGATAAATAGGATAATTCAAACAATAGATATCACACTAAAGTCTTCATTAGTCCATTCATCGCAGTAAAGTCAAGGCGATTGGACGTGGCTCGTAATCTTGTGTTCATCTCACTTGGTAATTATCTGCACAAAATAACCTTAACATGCTTGGCTATGTGCACAACCATAAATTTTTGTCAACTTTGATGTTAACAGATGGTGTCGATGAGGCTGATGAGGAGGATGACGAAGGATCGGATGAAGACGATGAGGGTGAAGACGACGAAATTGGAATTGAAGCCCTTCAACAAAGTGGCGAGTTGGAAGACGACGAAGAGGATTATGCTCCAGGTGGGTCCTGTATTTCATCATATGTGGTTAGATTCTGTTTAACTAAAATTGGGAAGAACCTCAACTCTCACTAACATATAATTTATCTGTAGGTGAGGATGAAGAGGATGAGTATGACGACGTCGATGAAGAGGATGAGGAAGATGTTGAAGAAGATAATGGAGCAAATCTTTCTGCCGCCAACGTGTCAGGCCCCCGACGTCCGGGTTGCAAACGGCGCCATGAAGATGACCAGGAGGCCGAAAATGGCAATAATGGTGAGCATTGTGGAACTAAGCACAAGCATACTGAAGAGTCTGCCGAAACTCATGTCGAGAATGGATCTACTGTTGACCAGTGATTATGAAACCAGTATAAGAAAAATTTCATCGTTTTTGTTATTATTATTTAGGTCAAATTTCCTATTGTATATGTTAAGTTGTTTCATGTTCATCTTTATATGTTTAGTTACCAAATTCACCAACCAAAAATTAACTATATATTTGTACAGTACATTTGCTGCCATACACGCCTAAAAGCGACGATGTTAACAGCACCATAATACAGTGTTAACTGATGCATTTACTCATATTTGTAATACTTTTTACATTAAGAAAAATTTAAACTCATCACTTCTTAAGAAAATTTACTCACACCCACTCGTATTTGCTGCATTTTATTAAATAACATGTTTCAATCTTTATATTGATAAAAGTTCCTTATTATTCAAAATTGTGTTAGTTTTTTTATCTTGAATAGGACATTCGTCGCGTTGTGTGGAATTGTTGTAGTTGATAGTTGAGCTTTCAGAAGAATTGGTCCTCAGTAGGGATTGCGGATGAGGAAGTATCGTTCATTATTAAGTTTTATTGTAATAACTTAAGGGAATGTGTACGATTATATACTCGAAATGTGCGGAACATAGGTTCAAAGGTAGCAGGTAAAGAAAGTAGGATATGGATGCTGACTTTGTCCGAACTTCAGAATAGTTGGGTTTCGTTTGATGCACTGCTAGTAGCAGTTTCCGAACAAATGAGTCAGTAAGTTTGGGGTTCAAGTTTTCCCGCTAGGTGTTGGTGAACAGAGACACCACTGTGCATTGTTTGGTTCGGAGGTGAGCTTACGTATTACTATGTCGATGTTTTATGAAATCGGGGAAATGTTCAATTCCTTGGATGACCCATATGTATCTAACGGTAGCTGCTTGAATGTCACAGTGAAAGTGCTGTTACCTATGGGCTATGGGTATGAGAGTGAAGTAATAACAGTGACTAACCGTAGTTTATACGAAAAAAATAAAAGACAGATACAGCGAAGAAAATTTTCTTTATCGACGAAATCTTCTTCAGAGGCTGTACAGTCGTGTTTATACTTTCAAAAATATATAGTGATCTATTATTAAGTAATAGGGGGTGATATAATTACTCAGAAGTGGCTTTAGAAGTGAAAATTAAAAGTTGTAAATTACGTGGTACTCAACGGAACAAAGATAGAAATTTGATTAGGTTAAAATTGCTATTGAGTCAGAATAAAGGTATTTGAGTGTCAATTTGACAAGTGTGAAGAGGGTGTGAAAATATACAAAAGGAGCATATGAGAGTGATAATAGTGAATTAATTATCAAAGCAAAAGCAAACTAAAAGTAAGATTAAAAATTACAAAAAAGAAAAAAACCAAATTTTTTTAACAGGGAACGATTAGTGAGACGGTAGAATAAGAGACTGGACAAACTTTTTCTGTATACAGAGTTCAGGGTTGTATTGATGAATTGCCGACGCCTTCGCCATACACAAAAGCCGAAACCTGACTCCCTTTGTACCATTTGGCTTCACTTTGTAGATGATCTTGAAAGACGACTCCGGTGGAGTTACGTGGCCTGAGTTCACCAAATGCTCGATAATTGAGCTAGTAATTATCTTACACTGTCCCTTCGCTAACCATGCCGGATAATGTTCAGAGATGCGTTTGGAAAGCGTGCGCTTTGTGTGGCCAATATAACTAGCTCCACACGAGCAAGTGAATTTATAAACACACATTGAGGTGGCCCAAAGCAGCAGTTTATCGTTCACACACCCGTTGATCATGTGTCGGCTGTAGAAGTTGATATGCAGCTCAGTCATAAAGAAGGCTTTCCTCAGTGATCTGCATAAGCGATTCTTTAGGATCTCAGCTGTGGTATCACCTTTAAATTCAACACTCATAAATACCAGTTTCTTTGGCACGGTCTGGATTCTTTCAGGGTTTTCCCTTAACTGCATGTTTTTCTCGATAAATCTTGGAGGATATCTATTCTCTATGAGGACTTGTTTGAGTCGCCCCAGTTCCCCATCGATAGTATCACTTGAACATATCCTCCTTATTCTTGAGGTTAAGGAATGGATCAGATTTCTCTTTCTTCTCAAAGGGATCCAGCTATGGAAATTTGTGCACTGACCATTCTATGTTGGTTTCCTGTAGATCGATCTTTGAAGAGAACCATCAGATCTCCTCTTTAGAAAAACATCCAAAAAATGGAATTCCGAGTTAATCTCTGATTGTGACGTGAACTTGATATGCCATCATGATGGCAGCTGTTGAACTCTTTAGTCATCAATTCAATGTCGGTATTGTCGTCACATATGATGAATGTATCATCCATGTATCTTTGGTACAGATGGAAACTGTCGATAGTAGGCCGTAAAATACTATTCTCCAAACTAGCCAAGAAGCAGTCTGCAAGTAAAGGACCCAATTGTGACCCCATTGCCACTCCATCTCTTTGTCTATAAATCGTGTTGTTGAACTTGAACTGGACATTTAGAGTGCACCTCAATAGTAGTTCCTTTAAGTAGTGGATCGGAACACATACATCTACATTATTGTCCTCAATGAATTTGCATATAAAGCATATAGTTTCAGTGAGGGGAACGTTGATGAGAAGCGAAGTAACATCCATGGATATCATTTTCTTCCCGGATACATTAGCATCACTTATTAAATCGGCGAATTCAAACGAATCAGAAACACTATGCTTGCAGAGGTTATTTCTGATAGGTAGGAGGATTTCTGCGAGCCATTTGGCGGTAGCATGATATGGGGAATTTGTCATGTCCAAGATTGGACGTAGTGGCATGTTCTCTTTGTGCACTTTCGGCAGACCTAATAAACGGGGAATCACAGAACCAGAGGGTCGTATTTGCTCGAATAATTCAGAGCTGATAATCGATCCATTATTCATGTTCTTCAGCATTTGTGTTAGCTTGCCTTCAATTTGTTCCGTTTGGTCTTTCTGGCTACATTCTTTTGAAAATTTGTTTTCATCTGACGAGACTGATAACATTTTATCGATGTAGTCTTGGTGATCCATCAGGACAATGCCAGCACCTTTGTCGGGGCGTGTCAGAACCAAGTCTGTTTGAACAAAGCAAGAACAACAATTGTACCAGGATAATATGAGCTCATCTTTTATTATTTCGAGGATTCTTCTCAACTGGTTACAACCTGAACGATAAAAATATGAATTACATTAAAGATTTGAAAATACTTTTCCACGATCACAAGGAGTAATTGGTAGGAGGTAAAAGTAACATTATTCCGGAATGACTTAACTAATTAAGAGTTACAAACACCAACTATTTATAGAATAATTAGACAATTAGGCTTGGAAACAGAAAACAGAGTTGTATAAATATGTGTGTGTATAGAAACAAGGTTTAGCTAGAAAGAGCATAACAAAAAAGTAGATTACGTAACTAAAGAAAATGTTTTATCTAATAGCCAATAGAAAAAGAAAAGAACAAGGTAGGGTGAGTCATTTTTAGAAGAGAGAGTAGAGTTTTCTAAACAAGAAAAAGGGTGACTCATACAAGTTGTATACTTTGTTATCACCAGGGTAGTGCAAGATTCACCACTGTCTCTTTCTGCGTACATAAATTTGGTTTAAGTCGTTTAATAGCAATTGCTTCAGCAAAGCGTAGCAAGTTAGGTTTCTTTTGCTTGTTGATTATTTTGAACGACTTCAGGTTGTTTACAATATGATCAGTGTCCAGTAGATGATGCACAATCGCACTGTTTAATGCTTGCGGACCTTTTAGTCTCAGGTTCTTTGGTATGTGTTCAGAAATGTGAACAATAACCCTTCTCTCTGTTCTTCCAATGTATGTGCTTTGGCACGTACATGTAAATTGGTAGACACAGTTGGACGTAACATGAGGTGGGTATTTGTCCACTTTTGATTGTCTCAAACAACTAGTTGTTTGATAAACACATACAAGCTTGGCGGTTGGATATGTTCTTTTTAGGGCAGCGTTCAGTCTGCATCTTATTCTACTAGCAGTATCATCACCTTTGAACGCAAGCTGCAGAAAGATAGGTTTCTTTTCTACTGTGCTGCTTTTCACTTTTTCAACATGACGTCTCCCATACTTGTCGATGAACTTTTGTGGGTAACCATTGTCGCGTAGGCATTTCTCCACAATGGATAGCTCTTCCTCGATCTTTTCTTCTGAACACAGCTTCCTTACACGATCAAGTAATGTTCTCACCAATCCCTTTTTGTAACTTATAGAGCAGAAGCTTTTGAAGTTAAGGTAAACCGCCCTCCAGGTCTCTTTTCTGTGTATATATCTTATGATTTTGCCGTCTTTATCTCGTTGGATACCTAGGTCAAGGAAATGGAACTTCTCCTCTTTTTCATATTCCATTGTAAACTTAATATTAGGATGGGCGCTGTTCAAGACTTTTAATACTTGAGATGCATCATTAAAAGAATTACAAATAACGAAAGTGTCATCAACATACCTGGTATAGAAGTCGCTCTGACTGATTGCGGATTTCAAACTTGTTTGTCCTAGACTACCCATAAAAATATCTGCCAGAATCGGACCCAGGGGGCTTCCCATGGCGACTCCGTCAATTTGGCGGTGTTGTTGAACTGGAACTGTACGTCTTTGGTGCACATAAGTAAAAGTTGTTTGAGTTCGTTCTTGGGTAGAGGAAGAAGTTCGGCATGTTGACATATAATTTGTATAGTTTCTTCCAATAGGATCTTTGTAAACAGTGAAGACACGTCGAAGGACACCATAAATATATTTGGGATGCTTAGATTCTCTAATTGCTTAGCGAATTGGAAGGTGTCTTTCAGGTTGCAGACTGCTAATTTACTACGGATTGGTTCTGACATTTCTGCTAGCCACCTAGCTACTTTGTGATACGGCGAATTAATCATAGATACTATTGGTCTCATTGGGATGTCAGGCTTATGCATCTTTGGTAAGCCGTACAGGTAAGGCAATCTGGATCCCTTAGGCTTCAGTTCGTTGTATATGTTGTTGTCAATCAACTTCTTCTTCAGAAGTTCTCTTAGCTTCTTTGTAATCCGTCTTTCCATCAATTCGGTTTGATCTTTCTTCGATGGATCAGTTCGAAATGTTGATGAGTCATTCAGAACTGATTCCACTTTTTTCACGTAAATATCTTTATCCATTATCACAACACCTGATCCTTTGTCAGGTCGGAGAATAACAATAGACTCATTCTTCATCAAGCTTTTTAATGCTATTTGGTGATCTTTCGACAAAACTGCAGATTTTGGATTCGGTGATATGATATATTGATTAGCAATGTCGACAAGTCGGGATTTAAACCAACCTTGTTTGTCGTCATCCACTGGTTTTAATTCGGATAGTTGATGGTATAAACCTTCGAACTGGGTTTTGACATCAATTTTGTTGGAATGTGGAATCTGAATCTTAGTGAAAGTGCTTCTGTTTCTATCTGACTCAGTTTATAACTTGACAAGGAAGAAGCTAGTGGCTTTGATCATATCTTAA